GAAATTTTTCGCTTACATTTATGTAGTTGTTGTGATATATGGATCATCAGTAGTTAAAAAGTCGCTTGTATACTGAAATTTTAATTTCACGTTGCGCCATTTATGGGTTGTATAGCCTTTCTAAATATCAAACTTGTCAAACTTATCAATATTTTTGAATTCTTCCTGTAGGTGAGTGATTGTGTATCTCAAGAATAAATATACATATATATATATATATATATATGTATCATTTCTGAGAACTAAGAGTATTTCAAATAGGCTAGCCTGTATATACTAAATCCCTATCAATAATGGTTTCATATACACGCAGTTTTGCAAAGAAAATATGTTTACAAAGCAAACGAAAAAACATACCTCGACGTAGGAAAAACAGTATATATATATATATATATAATATTTCTTATCTAATCAAAACTTTACATAATCCGCCCCTCATCGGTCTTGGCTATTATATAAAAAAGTACCAGCAAAATTTCATCTTTGGTAAACTACATATATTTACATACTTCCAGTATGTCACTATGAAAGCTAACCTCAAGTGAAAGGACCGTTCTAAAGGACGATGAGGACAGGTCACTGGATACATGCTATTTACATGTTAAAACTCAAGATAACTATAATTCGTTCAGTTCTAGGTGTTTTTTCATCTGAAGTTTAATTTAGCAAATGCTCGAATATCATAGCGGTTAAAAAATCAAACGTCAGTCAGTCAAATCTTACAGCGCTTGTTTCTCTTCAGTATTACTGTAAAATAACTTCATATTTCCGCAGATACTTATCCGCTGAAGCAGTGAATATATTTTATAGTGGGAGTAATATATGCTGTTTCCATTTTCTCACCAATTGCTAAAAGTTCCCCTCTGTAGCCAGTTCTGCTGCTACAAGAAATATGGTTCTTCGTATAAGGAAGGCAGATATGTGTGTAATATTTTGAGAGTAATATAGTCCTCTAAATGATTTAACCTAATGTTTTTAGCTTTCCTGTTAAATAAAACTCTGTTAAAGTTCAAAATAAAGTTAACTGCCTCTGTCAATGATCAATGTCAAGTTAATGGCCTATTTTCTACTTGCTTAACTATTCATATAACTTTTATTTAATTGACTACTTATCAACAAAGTGTAGTGATTAAAAATGCTCATTAAAATTTGCAAAAGAATGGTTACTGAACAAAGAATACTCTTTACTATAACTCCACCATCAGGCTCAACATTTATATATATAATAGTAGTGAACGAATTTGTTTTATGAACAAAATTAATGTTTAAATAACATCGAATCAGTAATGTCAATAGATTGCAGTTCAGTAGCATAAACATAAAATAAGCTGAATGTTAGAAAAAATTAGGAAAGATAATATTACAAATTCATGATTTTATAGTCTCTACTGAAGACCAGGGCAGTAGTAGGGGCTGGACTTGCTTCTTTTGAACACAGAGCACTGGTTGTTTGAGGTGAATTGCAATAGCCTCTGCTGTTTGGAGCATGCGGTGCTTCGATGATTTTGACAATTTATTTGGCACCCGGTAGATGATAGAGAAGGATTCTTCAACGCTGGCTTTGTGGCTGGTTTGCACCAGATGGTCGCATATCGAACTGTTGATTGTTTTTTACTACACCCCTACTTAGTCACGCTGGTAGAGGTTCCCGAGCAGGAAAAATAAAGTTGCTAGGGCAACGGCCGATATAACTCGCTCCACAAGCGCAGTTGAATTGGTAGATACAATTTGAAGTGGCTAGCTAGTCTACGTAGTTCATCTTTCAGTCGAGGGATCACCATCGACCGTGTAGAGAATAAGACGTGTAGCTCGCTAGCATTAAAAGTTCTTTGAACTGATTTTCTTAATTTCTTCGTAATTATTTCACTTGGTATATCGCCCTTGAATTGTAGTCGTATATAAAAAGGATTCTTGTTTACGGATAGTGAGTTGTCCTTTTCGACTTTCTTTTCGATGTGTTTCTTAATAAATTTTTCGGTCAAAGTATAATATACAACGCTTAATTCATCTTCATCTACTTCTTCTGAGCATATAGCTCTAACCCTGTGGCTGAGAGTCTTTACTAAATTTCTTTCGTACTCGAGAGGAACGAAGCTGTGAAAATATGTATATTGTCTTGTCCAAGTACTTTTTCTATACAAATTTCTTTTCCTGTTACCATCTGGTTTTCTTGTAAGGAGGACATCTAGGAAGGCTATTCTATTGATGTTATTGATTCGATGTTATTTAAACATTAATGCTGTTCATAACACAAATTCATTCACTTCTATAATTTATGTATAACTGTAGAGCCTGATGGTGAAGTTATCGAAAAGAGTATTCTTTGTTCAGTAACCATTCGTTTGTAAGTGAAGTGAATTGGAAGAACTCAGTTATAATATGTCTGCAAAATAATCACTTCTATGTGTAAAGCAATAATATGCTTTCTTTAAAGGTTTATGCAAAAGATATATGTATATACACTTAAGTTAACATAAATAAGCTTGGTATTGGTGCCTTAACGTCAAAGTCATTTGTAGAAAGGAAGTAAACGATTAGGCGACACCTAGGTAAAATTATATGATTAACTTAAGTGACGATGATCATATCTTTACGCAATTAACATCTTGCACTGAACTAGACGGTTACTGAAAGTCTTTTACTGCATTTTTACCTATGAAACAGTTGAATTAAGATTACTACCATGCTGAACAGTATATTTATAAAAATAAACATTCAGTAACCGGTCAGCCTATGCTAAATAAATCACATGTGACGTCCGAAAAAGCGGACCCGACTGCACGCTTTAACCCTTTTGTTAAATAAGAATTAAATACACATTCTTTTTAATAAAGGTTTTTGTATTTCCCAATGAATGAAAAACAAAACGATATTGTTTTTACTGACGTTTCGCTATTTAATGCTAATAGCTTTCTCAAAGTATTATTATTATTATTGATAACACATTCTTTTTGTTTTTAACGAAAGCGCTTAGTTGCCATGTTATCTAGGCTCTAATTATTCTTTTATTCAAGCAGGATATTAGTATTTCAGTCAGCCCCGTAAAATACCTAATTCACTTACCAGTTATGATGTAGTTCTGTGGTTTGTTTAAATTTTGCCATTTGTATGATAACTTTTGGTGTGATTTAGGTAAAATTCGACTGATAGAAGGACCTGCTCTTCGATTTTGTGCCTACCGTCACTTATCGACAAGTTAGTTTGGTGTCGCTCACCGATTTGCGAGGTCGTTTTTGCATGTACACTTTAATAAACATCCACTAATGTGTCCTACAGCTATATCAAAGTGTATAACAAAAAGAAACCTATTAAAATGTTGAATAATTAATCTAATACTTTTCTGAAAATGAATAAAGTGATTTAAATAAACGACACGATATATTAACAACTATGCGAATAAATCTTATTACAAGTGTGAACATAATAGGAAAGTGAATTAGACTTACTTGTAATGATTTATACGACTGATGTCAGCATAATTCTTTCTCCATTTATGTTAATGGTGTGACTACATAAAATATTACTAAAGACACAATGCTAGTGGGAGCATTACAGTTCAGACTATCATAAGTGATGAAACCTTTTAAAAAAAAATCACTAAACGAATAAAACATTTGTATAAATCACACTGATTCAATAGAAAAAGACTGTAAAGAAAATTACTTAGCCTGTATGTCATTTGAACTTCTTCATGGTCCTGTTACTCCTTGTCTTAGTGATATTATTCATACGATTATCACTACTTTTATTACTGCTATTAACGAAGTAGTTACCTTAAAATATATATGTGAAAGTTTCCAATTAGTTTTTAATTTATTTTCTCAGTTTATTCACAGGTAATGCTAATTTAGGTATATAAATCCTATATATCGTCCAAATATTGTTCTCATATCGAGATAAACATTTAATATATATGAATATGCAGACATGAGAAAGCTAGATTTAGGAATTGCGAAATTCCTCCGTCAGTTTTTGACTAACCTTGATGATATGACTAAGATGTAATCTGGAAATATGGAATGAAATTATACTTCACTAAGGAATTTCCGACACATGTTTACAGTGTCAGTGACATTGCTTAAAATCATTTGCTAGTGGAATACAGTCTAGTGAGATTCTTGCAATATATGACGCTTAGGAAATGCACATATAGCTCGTGATTTGATTTCACCTGAAAATTTCCGCCTAAGTTAGAACCTAATTGTTGAAAAGTGTCATTTTCTGAGTCTTAAACAAATTATGTTGTTGGTCACTTATCAAATGACAGTGAGTTAGTATTTTCACATTTTCATAATCCATAAATATGATAAGAAAATTAAACATTTGTTGAGTTAATAAGAATAGGGTTTTTCGGATCATATCCACTTTTAGCGAACCATTCCCCGCCACGTTATCATAGAAGGTCACTGTGAATCAAATCCAATTAAAAAACAACAGCGACCGTTGTATACTGAGCACGTTTACACCCTGATCAACAATAAAACATTATTATCAAGAGGAATCTATATCTCATTGGCAGGACACCATATCAGAGATTCACAGACGATCAGCCTGGTTTGAATATGCAGTATTTTCAGTGCATTCTCGCCCGTCAGCTATTAATTAGCAGTTTGTAATTTTTACTATAGGATAAATATCTCTGACTACTTAATGCTGATGACAATCTTTTTTAGCAAATCACTGTGCAAATGGGTAATAGCCGAAAGAAGATATATCTCTGAGTAGTAAGTTAAACCACTACAAGATTTAAAACAACTTCGAATTTGTTTGATGGCTATCTGAGTAGCATTTGTTTACTTTGGAAATGCTTGTAATTTTCACTTAAACTGTTTACAATTTCTTACTTTCACAGGAGAGTACTGTACATTTCATTTTCCATTGAAATTTAGGTGAATGAATGTTGTATTTACGATTATCTTTTTAGGTCTACGCTCTCCAAGACTTAGATCACACTGTGATGATCTCTTAAATGTAATTCTACCTTTTCTCTTTGTTTTTAGATTTCGCCTCACGAGCAGTAGCCTTAGCACACACACCAGGTGAGTCCTGACTTTTATTCTTTCGATTAACACTATCAATGAGAAGAGATTTTCTCACTGAAAACTGAGTGTCCATTGAATACATGACTCGACTTTACGAGGCTAAATATACCAGTGCGTCGGTGGCACAGTGGTTAGGACTCTCGCCGACCATGCACATGGTCCGGGGTTCGAGCCCTCGCCGACGCACACCTGATATCTATGGTTGGCCTGCGAATTTTGGGCTACCGATATCCACGCTGAAAATTCCATACTTGTACCAAAAATACAGTGTGGAATCAAGCTGTAACCATAAAAAAAAAAATCACAAAAATGTCTATGCACTTTCGAAACACGTCGTTCTCTGTGCTATTTGATCATCTGAATAAAATGTTCACCCAGTGTATTTTTACCTCTGAAAGCATCACATTCTATAATCTTTTGAGAATAGCGAAAGCTTTTAGACAAATACCGTCTACTCAAGTACCATGGAGATTTTTAAAACATTTTATGGTTGTTTTTCTGCCTCCAGCCAAAGTAAAATCATAACTCCACAGAAAAAAGCACATTAGTAATGGTAAGAAATGCATATCACAGACTGTGGTACGGTGTCACTTATTAGCCTTACTGTTATTATTGTCTCAGATAGACTGATGAAGAATTACTTTTGGTATTTCTTAACATTATTTAATGATAATTTCAACACATTATGAACTGATGGGATGTGATAACCCGAGTTTTGAAATCAATCTTTGTCAACCTCATTCAACAGCTATATTGACAATGCCACGTGTCAAGTGATCCATGACAGAAAACTCAGCGAGGTGTTCGAAGTGAAGATAAGACTATCTATTATCACCGATAATATTCCTAATTGTGATGGACTGGATAATGCATCAGACTTTGCACAGGGAGACAGGAAATACGCCGGACGATCAATAAAAAGACTCTAGAAGATCTGGATTTCACAGATGATATATGTCTAATGTCACACAAACTCGGAGGATTACAGGCAAAAACCAACAAACTGGCTGAAGAGGCTGGTGGCAAAGACAGGACTCCAAGTGAACATAGAAAAGACGGGGATGATGCTAACTAATAAACAGCAAGAACAACCAGCACCAATCACCATCAACGGGAGGGATTTAACATAGGTTACTTCCTGTCTTCACTTAACTAGGAAGCATCGTTTCAACTACAGGCAGTCGGAACAGATGACGACGTCAAAGCCACTCAGGATAAGAGAGGAAAGATACCCACGCCTCCCTTAAACTGAAACTAGTTTGGAAATATTCTACACTCAACATAAGGAACGAGATTCGGATTATACTCAATACCAATGTGAAGAGACTCAAATTATGCTATACGGGTCAGAAACTTGGCCGGCGTGTCACGAAGAGGATTTCCAACAGCCAGTTGCAGACTTTCATCAACAGGTGACCGCTCCGCTGGCTGACTCCAAAGTGAAGATCAAATGGCCAGCCAGAAAGAATGAGTAACAAGAAACTCTGGCTGAGAGCAAACCTACCAAGAGGCGATCGCTCAAGAAATATGTAGGAGAAAATGGAGATGGAATGATTGGGCATATATTGAGGAGGCCTTCGAATGACATCATACGCAATGCAGGCCATCGCTTGAGTGGAATCCCGATGGGAAGCGGCGAGTGGATCGTCAACGCTAATGTAACATGAAGGGGATCGTGTGAGGAAGAGATGAGAGAGTTTGGTCAATTGTGGATCCAGATGAAGGGGACTGCAGAAAAAACAGAACAAAGTGGAGATATGTTGCTGAAGGCCTTTGTTTCACTCGGAACGCAAGGGAATAATAATAAAAAAAAATGAAAAATAATATATTTGTGTTTAATTTCCATTAACCTTCTTACTTTTCAGGGGATATAAACTGCCCATCGTGTAGTACAAATAAAGAGAGAATTAAACTGAAGAAATTCTGTCGTAAAGATGCAGGTAGGTAAATGTAAATTATTATGGTTTAATAAGTCAATAAGTCAGATTTGTTAAAACTGTCGTGAATTTATTCAAACTATAGGGATTACGAATTATTCAGTGTTACGGAAGTCTTCACTTGTCACTACCTAAAATATCACGAAGAGATCTGATATATAAGACGACAGACTTGGAATACTTGATTTCTAGTCAATTTAAATAATTACTAAGACTCCAGACGTCACAACGATCAGCGCTTAATCGATTTTATGACTTTTTTTATAACTTTATGTTTACACAGGTACGAAGATGTTTCTGTAATACAATTCAACTAAACCAAATGCATTTTGTTTCCTGTGGGTGACTTAAGAAGTCAGCTTCTTTTTACTTCCTAAAATAATAATTTTTAATGAATAAGAACACCGTTAAATGTGTGGTCAACATGCCAATATGTAGACATAATTGTGTACTTTGGAAAATGTGCATAAACGGTAAATCAAATCAAAGTGAACTTCTCATTTCCATTTAGACATAATGTCAAATATATAAGTATTCTAAATATACGAATTTAAGTTTCTATTCATAACGGAGAGATACAGAAGAACTTCACCACTGTACTATTGGTAATGTTTTTATTCACCTAATTACCATTTTGTAGTGTGTTTACATTAGTCTACCTTTTGCTTTTCGGCTGGTGATGATAACAGATATACGCAATGTCTATTGAGCTGTAGAACACTGAAGTAATGTGAATGTGCACGTATTTTGTCGATGCATTCATCCAATTTGTCTTTCTAACTGCTAATTTATTTAATTCGTCTCCGCGTTAAAAGTGAGAGAGAGAGAGATGGTGAAAGAGAAGTAGGGAAAGTGAAAGTGAGGTGAGGTGAGGTGAGGAAAGAATGGCAAAGCAAATTACTAAACCAAAATAAATTAGACAAATAAACCAGTTGTTAAGTATTTGTCATGGGATGAAGTGAAAAATTCCATCTTCTTAGTAATGCAATTTATCGCATTTCATAAGCAATTACAAAAGTCAACACCCAATGAAGTCTATGTCCCAAAACGACCATATATCATTTTTTCTGCAAAAATGTAAAAAATTATTGCATGCATATTGCTAAATTGATCCCATGAATCATGTCTTCGAGGGACATTTTCAATTATTTGATCGTGAAAACAAAAAAAAACAACAACTTCACAATAACTGTAGTGTGGAAACCAGGTAATAAGAACAAATAACAATAATGCCAATTACTACTTAAAAGAAACGAAAACAAAAAGACTTTTAGGTGCAGGAATGTTGGTCGGCTTTCACTAAACCACAAAGTGTTTGTATTTTTATGTTATCCTAATTTTATCAGAAATATCAATGGTAAAATAGTATTTTTGATATCAAGATACTTCTAAATGTTACAACTTCAACTTTAAGCTTTTGATCAAGTAATGTCATAGAACTTTTTCTATGTATACTTGTGTGTCGTAGGTTGTTGCTGAAGTAAATCATCGTGAAAGGTGTTACCTTTTCTTTCATTACAACATACTGATGCATCTAATTGTTGAGGGTTTTGTGAGTGATGCATCATGCACCTGGTATCAGTATGTTAGCACAGATGGTGGACAAAAATTTCAAATATAACTTTTTCTGATATGACGCATTGTTACCACATTATTAATCGGACGACACTCCGAGTAGAAATTATCTGTCACAATTACATTAAATAACTCATAAGACTTTTAAATTTATATAAATTTGCTACCTCTTCATTTTAATCCAATTTTCAGTAAATCCGGCACAGGTACTTCGTCATCTGTGTTCCGTGTACATGATGTTGACTGGATTAACAAGGATGGAGTAATTCAGCTTTCGTTTCACCTAGTCATATTACTTCCTAATTCTTTTGCCCTATCTCACTATATCGTATGATTACATGTTATTGGGTGCATTACAGTAGCGTAGTTTCTTTTTCTTGGTTACTTAGCAGGGTCAGTATCTTAATGTCTCACTGAATTCTCATTTTCTGATAACGTAAATGACCTCCGTCTCTCAGTCTGACCTTTTTTATTGGCTTCACATGCACTATATGATACCTCTTAAGTTATAGTTTTCCCCGAATCAGTCTGCCGGATTGTGAAGCCGGCAAAGTTTATCTCTAAATTAGTTGATTTAAACGCCCCTCTTATTCCATACTTATTAATAATCCTACTCAGGTACTCTGACATTCTTTTCCTATACTTTAGTACTACCAAGACTTTGAATCACTTAGTATTTATAATATTCTGATTATCTGTATTACTGGTTCTACTTTTCCTAGTTAATTTTTTGACCGAATATGGTTGAGTACCTGGTCGACAGTAATATTTTCCTCATTTATTTGATTCCAGTAAATCAGTCTTTGGATTTAACTGTCAGGCGTTTGACCTGATCACATCAATATTTAACTAAACCTACCTTTGCGGATTTAAACTAGGATCATTCAAGGTCTTCAAACCTATCGGAGTGAGAAAATTCTTCATCTTATCCACCACTTTGTGTTCGTTTTGTTTAGTACTCCAACACAGCCAATTCACCTTGTTCATTTTCTAACTAAAACGTGAGCTCGATCTTTTCGACTTCTTACTTATTGCATGAATAAATAAGGGACTTCAACACAGTAAATATGTCCTTCACAAATCTCCATCATATCTTAGGAGCAACTATTAACGTTATAAGCATCTTACTTCCTCACCTCAACAAATGTATCTGGTAGGGCTGTCGGTATCCATATTCCCACTGCCAATCCATTTGTCTATATGCATATAGTATCTTGAAATTTGAAGACTGTCAAAGTCAAATATAATAAGACTTCAAACATTATCTCTTCAACTTATTAAATAATTTATTGAGTGAGTTCAGAATCAGTGTTTACCTTGTTACTGACATCTTTCAAATCTGCAATAATCTGCCTATTATTTCATAAACTCCCATCCAAAATAATAATTTTTTCGACCCTTTTTATCTGAATTACCTTCAAGAATGTTTATCCAGAGATGTGCTTTTTAGACCATTTTTCTGACTTTAAAAATGTATCTCAAATGTAAGTATAAATTACGGCCTATATCGCATTCTATAATCTACAAATTGTTAAGTTGAAATCTTCATTTGGTTACAACTTGCAACAAATGTTTATTCATGCCGTTCTTCAAATATTTACTGACTTATGAGTAGCTTGAAACGGCTGACATCAAACACTAGTACTTGTCATTCAAATCGAAATGATCGAAGTACCGGACAACTGTTTAGCTGTCTTGAGGCAGAGACCATTAGTGATGTAAACAGTTTGACTAATATGAGTGAACATTTTCTATTCAAATCACCCGAATTCTGGCTAGCTAATTAAGAGAACTATAACACATTGAATCGAATTCTAAATTTTCAAATTCATTCGCTATGTGCAAGTGATATAGTTTGATGTGAAGTTTCCCGACGGTTTCCAAAAAAATTGTAGTCAAATTTTACCTCGAACTGTGTAAATTTCAAATCGCGAATTAATTTGAAAATTGAGAATTTGATTAAACTATTTACCATTGTAGTGACTTATGGTGGACACATATCTTAGTGATAGTGTGTGAACCTTTCCACGGTTCATAGTGTTTCTTTCGACTTTTGTCATGATATTACATCAACATCTTTACCCCAGCAAATCACTTACCAAAAGGATTTCTCAGATGAAATCATGTACTCCATCAGGATGATGTAAATCTTAGCTTAACAACTTACGATTCTTTTCTCGTAAAACAAATAAAAGCCTAAAATCACCCCATTATGAAATTCCGCCAAATTTTAGAAAGGATTACAATGCACCACGCCTAACTAAGTACCGCTTCTTCTAAACTCAAATTTAATATGTGGTGAGCTACATGACTGTGCTTTCTATGAGGGAAATTTTGGTCGATAAAAATAACTGAAGGAGAAGTGATAAAGTTTTAAAAAATGTCTGCTGACTGCAGTTGTTCTCTAATTTGATCATTTCTCATTTGTTCATTACCATATTTGTCGCTAAACTGTGCTACAAAGCGGTAACTGTTATCAGGACACCATCAAAACTGAAATCAGTTTGAAAACATACTTCACTTTGTAACGTTCCAGTGTTCAGCATTTTATGCCTTTTCTCATTCTACTGAGTTTTTAAAAAATACAGGCCAACTCTAAAAACCAACAGATTTTTTAATTTTAAACAGAACACTAGACGATGTGTTAACGTTATTCTTAAAAGTTAGTTGAAGAATATTATTCATAAACTATTCATATGTGAAGTATAAACTATTCCTGATTTCATTTTACAAAGAAAAAGTTTAATCCGTCTTCGTAGATCCGTATAGTCACAGTGGGATGGTAGAAATCGTAGATTTTCGAAAAAAGGCGGAGTTGCAAGTGTGGTGTTTGAGTGAAATATCGTGCACTGAATAGAATACAACGAAGTGGTAGTTAACACAATACACAGAATTCCACTAGATAAACAGTCCTGTACTGACTAAATTTTCACTGAATAAACTCAACTAATATTGATTTAACTTTGCAATTTTATTTCATTCTTAGTTTTTGAAGCTTCTTTCAAATCACGCGAACTCCACGGAAACATGGCTCGCTTCGAAATGCAAATAACACAAATATGGCGAATCAATAAACAATCTCTAAAAGGAAGTTCAGCTATCTACTGGCCTGCTTCAAAAAATTTCATCGATTCTGAACACAACAATCAAGATGAACATGAAGAAGCAATGCACAGGAAGTTAAATGAATTTGTTCCTGTATGGGTTCGATTAAATGATTTAAGGTGCAAATGCCCTTATATTGAATTGGGTACTTCATATTTGATAGTGACTGACTTTGAGAGCTTTACCAATAAAGTGAAGAACGAACTGTTGTTTTCCTCCAAAACTGCTGTTTTACCCTGGCGCACAAGTTGGAGACGTAGACTTATTCGATTTCGTCGAAGAGAGAATCGTGGGGCTTGTGAAAAGTTTCGTGAACCTACTAAACTTCTCAGTGTATATCGTCCTAAACAGTCCCTAGAAATACCGACAACTCATAATGAATGGTATACAACTAGTGCTTCTCGATATTCCTCACCTAATTATAAAAGTCCGACGTATTCTTTGTCACTAAGACCCTACTCAAGTCCTAGACATTATTATGGGATATCTTGAAAACCTTTACAATACATTTATTCGTTTGATTGTTCAATTTGTGTACAAAAACATTTTTAATTCATAAAAACGAATATCCTATTATTATTACTCCACATTAATGTCGATGTCAAACTTCTGTATAAATTTCAAAAGGCCTCTCTAAACGACTAGCCATTCTAACTTCTGCATGAAACTCAATGTTGAGTAGTAAGTGGAATCTGCTTCACCATCTCCTAAAGCATGCATACTTATAGTTGGAATTTTACAACCCTTTAAACTGATATAATAACGAATGCTACATGCGCACAATTTACTCAAATGCATGTATGCATTAGAGAAGAACAACTACTTGTCATTACAATTTACACAGATTCTTCTATCTTTGTTCTTTTATAACGTTAATAGTTTTTTTCATCATATTTCATTACGTCATTTAAGGAATCTGTAGAATGAACTTTCTTTTCTCTTTTGTAAGTGGTTTATATTCAGTAAAGTAAATTAAATCTGTTATTGTCTGTCATCAGATCATTCATGTATTATGAATATTACTATTATTATTCCCATTATCACTACTAATCCCACTGTTAAATATGTTTACATTTAATTATTAAAAGAAAAAATTAACGAAATCTTAGTAAACATTTGTTAGCCTTACATGATAAGTACTAGATTGGTGCTGAAACACAGAAATACCTACGGGTGCGTGACATTCACTGAATTTCTTATCGAGAAACTGTCTTTTGGATAAGTTTATGGATAGTAATCCTTTACTGCGATGACATTGGCAAGGAAATATACCATATTAATAGGGGAATTCTTCTTGGCAGTGATGCAGTAGTTCAGCCGCTTATGAAGTCATCATCTAAAATAAATGTAACCGGTCGTTTAGGAGGGAGATAAACAATATCTTTTATTTAGTGTCGTCTGGTATTTACTGCTGGACATGACTTCACTTATACTTTATCTCCGTAGAACCGAATAAGTACTAACATTATTTGGACTTAAGAAATAAAGATGGGAATAAAATATCGTCTTTTAATGACCAAAAAGCAAATATTAATTACCTTTGGTGTATTTTACAAATGTTAGGTGACGCTACACAACTGGTCTGCATCAACTCTGAACTTGATGACAGTGAATGAAATGTTAGAGCACAGTGACTTCTTCATTTAGTTAAATAAATTGTTATCCGCACCAACACAGATATTTTTTTCAGGCAACGTGTTTTCTTGTTCAGCTTTAGCATAGCAAAAGGAACAAGACTTGCAGTATAAAATATGCTCATTTTCTCTTCAGCTACAATAGCCTGGAATGTAGGCAGGACTAATGAGATAAGGAATTACATTTTTTTCTCCTAAGCAGAAACTAGAAATGAGGGTAGTAGTTTTCTGAAATAGCAAACAGTGAAATGTAATAGCTTAAATACTACAGTCAGCAAAAATACAAAGCTAGTTATTTACACTAAGTTAGGAGGAAGATTCGTGAAGTTTTTTTAAATAGCTACAACGAAATATCAACTAACGCGCAACACACAAGGAGAAGATTGTGTAGTAATGTACAAGAAAGAATTTGGGAGTGGTTTAACATCAAATGAGTTAAGATAAGTGAGCGTACAATAGCAATGTTAAAAATAATAATAATAGAAAACACAATGCATGCTTATTTAATAACTTGAATAATAGTCACCAAGATAATATGAGATTAATCATGACTCAACAAAATGATGTGATGTTAGATTTCTTTGCTTACTGACAGAAGTTTGAAGGTCGGAATATCGATTTTGTTTCCTAATTCCACTAGATGTCAGGTAGTTGAACTTGTAAGGGACTAGTAAACGTGTTTCCGTCCTTCTTATACACTTTCTATGGCAATTACATATGAGTCTATAAACAATTGGAGGTTATTTCTGATTGGTACCTGTCCACTCTGGATTGATAAAGAGAGCGAAAAGTGATGTAAAGAGGAATAAATGGGGCCGTCAGAAAGGCTGTAGCAAGAACAACTTTTGGTCTTTTGTTAATTCAGTGTGACACATCACATTCTTTGGAAGTCAACAGTACAAATACTGGCTTTTTCTCTATTGAAGCGAAGCTCTTTTCATTACTACAAATTCCTCCGTAGAAACGAAAGAATTTCTTAGGATACCTGTCTTCATACATGTGCTTTTCAAGAAGGTCCAACTTTTCATGCACTCTGTCTGTAGAGGAAAGTTTTAACGCTCTTTTGAGCAGTGACGCGACTAACCCCTATTTGTATTTCATTTGATAGAAGCTGGAATAGCTGAATGAGTGTTCTGTCCAGGTGTGTTTAGTCTATAAACCTCTCTGGATTTGCTGTCATCCAGTCTTTTCGTGCAAATATCAAACTGAAACGGGTTGTCACGCTCATATTCCATTGTGAAACTAATTTCATGATGCATATTGCTATAAAAAAGGGACAATTTACAAGCATGGTACATGGCCTCGCAGGTGACGAACGTAACGTACACGCAACTTCCATAGAGGCTAGTCTCTTCGGTTGCACATTTTATTTAATTTGTTTCTAAATTATCCGTAAATATATCGCCAAGAATATGTCCTAAAGGACTTCTCATGTCTACTCCATTAGTCTAACCATAAAGTACATTACTGAAATTAAATTTGATAACTTTGTGCAAAGCATTTGCAGTTCTACCATATCTCCACTCGATAGGGGGATAAATTCAAGCTATCCGCAAATTATCTGTTTTCTTTTCAAGTAGAACTTTGGTGAATAAAGAAGATATTCCAAAAAAAACATCCAGAATATGTCAAGAATATTTAAGGTACTCAGTTTCTAAGGAAATTGCAAAGAATTTGTGCGTCTCTGTATAGTTAATCTATGATAAATGGGTCCCGCTTCCCTGCAAGTTAGAATGGTAGTTTGTGAGGTGTCAAGTAACGACATTATTGATCTCAGAAACACTTCACCTACTGACAACTTGAGTATTTTTCAGAAGTTCGTCTGTATGGATTTGATTTGTTTCAGATTGGCACCAGAAAAAAGAAAACCATGGGAAAGTACTGGACAGCTGCATCGTCTTACTGGCCAAGCCTGAAACAAATCAAGTTCCTACAAGTAACTCTCGAGAGTCAATCTGACGCTTGGTAGTTACTAGCTGCAGCATGAAGTTTCCCTGAGTTCTAGTGAGTAGTCATGATCAGTGTGGTCCACTTGGTTGGGAGCGAAGACGAATACTTGTCTATGATACCAGCTGGTAGTTGCGCTAATATCAGGATTGGTGGAAGTTAGAATTCATGGGCCATTGAGTCGAGTCCCACTGGGGTGCCTTGTAACTGGGAGCTTCTGGGTTGGAACCTTGGTGGGTGCACACTGTGAAGAGTCCCACACTAGGGTGAAATAATTGTACACAACTCCATGGCGTTCAGTCGTTCTCCAAATGATATCAATCCGTGGTCAAATCTGAATTTGAGTAGTATGAATAGCTGATTTCAATCTTGACAACTTCCTTACAGTTTATTTTTCCCAACCGTCCTAATTGTTTCCCTATTTCCCCCCCCCCCATTATTTCTTTCTTTTCAGAAGAGTACAGTAGTGATACTAGACTAGATATAGGATTTTTGGAATAATATTTATAAAGTAAAAGTGCGTTGTTATATCAACGACAACCACACTACTAATCAGAACTGTAATTCTATTAATGTGCTAAAGTTCATCCAAAATCGTCTATCGGAAATAACCACTTTATTCAGCAACATCTACTTGAGTTGGTCCTAGTAAGTATCGCAGCATTAATGTAGGATATATTTACAAAACCACCGTAAACTATCTTTGCTTTAAATAAGAGAAACTAATTAGAAATTAAGAACTCAGACTTTAGACTTATAGGCAGTGTAAATAAATAATATTGTGGCGTGCTACTGACAAGATTTGTTAGTAGTATATATACAGATGTAAATATACACATCATCTGCAGGAATATCGAATAGTGGAGAGATGGATTTTAATGGCGAGTAAAAGAATGAAAGATGCTTGTGAAACCACATGGAAAACATGGAATGAAGACACAGAAGCGCAATATGGAGGATAATAGTAGTACAATACCGAAGATATGTGGAAAATGTGTATGGTAGATGTACTAAGCCTATATCTGTACACGGAGTTGCTGATAAATAATTCCGTTACCGAATACTCTTGTGTTCAGCCATTATATATATTAGAGCGACTTCAAATTCGAGACTAACTGACTTATGAACTAAGACAAAGCTTACAGTAAAATCAAATAGAAAGTTATAAAAACAGATTATTTTTGAGGTGTTAAATTTCTGCATTAATATATATAATCCTCAAAGGAGTGACAAATGGGTCGAATATTGATTATAAACTCATAAATATGACTTAAGTCTCGGCCTCAGAGGTAATACTAACCATCCAGTTACTTCTCACCTACCATGTATTTAAGTTTTAAGACGAAATGTACAAATAAACAAATGGGGTGACTGTGAGATTACTAATATCAATAGTAGGAGCAGAAATATTTACCATTAGTTGGGAACATAAAGCTTCTCTGCTTTGAGACAAAAATTCACTGTGTCTATCAGAAACATATCCATAAGTTATCACACTTTTATCCGGTGGGTAGGTTAAATACTGTGCGTCGGTGGCACAGTGATTAGGACTCTCGCCGACCATCCACATGGTCCGGAGTTCTATCCCCTGCCGACGCACACCTGATATCTATGGTTGGCCTGCAAAATTTGGGCTATCGATATCACATGCTGAAAATTCCACACCTATACCAAAAAATACGGTGTGGAATCAAGCCGTAATAAAAAAAATAGTATCTATAGGAAATCATAGCATTATTCGCTGATACGTAGACTTTGAGTCGTCGCAATCGAAGTCATTAAGGGGAGGTTTGTTGGATATCTATGTAACTGAAAAAGAAAATTAAAATAATAAAGTCAAGAAAATAAGGAAAACACTATTCCTGAATATCTGCCCACTTTAATTCATCTGAAAATTAAATTTTAAAAAATAGTAGTAATGTAAATTCGTGATTTAGCGCGACCCCAACCATTGTCGTTGGTGGGACATCCATCCACACACGTGACATCTAATTTAAAACATAACTAATCCTTACAAACCAAACTATAGAAAGTAATGTAAATGATATATAATTCCAAGCCTACATAATACTACCATATAAGGAAGGGCCATCAAAAACCTTATGCAAGATCCTTAACAAAACAGGAATCAGGGAAGCATTCAAACTCTACTGACCTAATTTGACAAATACTGCATAATTACTGTGAGGGTCATACATAGGTCTATGTAGTAGATCTTAGCCAATTAGGTTATCTAAACAGTGAAAGTCTCTAGGTGTACAATCTCTACCCCCAAAAAGATAAAAAAAAAACTCAGCAGTTGACGGAGATGCACTGACACACAGCCGTACATATTTTTAAAATGTACTGTAGGTCGAGGGAGAGTTTACCAACCGAATCTTTATTCATCGAATCCATACCAAACACTTGCAATAAGAATGACGTTAGATTAATACCAGAGATATAAAAATATTATTACCACTAAAATCCAAGGATCAGAAACCAACCAAACAAAAACTGAAGGTATTTTGAACCTCTTGATATCATTG